AGGACTTCACCGGCGGCTACCGCGTCTGTGCCTACCTCGACCCCTCCGAGAAGAAGCATGAACAGATCAAGAGCTTCTTTTTCGCTCTTCTCGCTTCCCAGAAAGACCAGACCATCCCCCTCCTCCGGAGCTACTTGAACGAGCTCTTTCTCAAGCTAGACGATCAGGTTCATAACCACGGCCACGCTTCCCTCAACTCCATCAGCGACTCCGAGCTCTTCAACTTCGTTTTTCGTTTCTACACCGGCAAAGACCCGGCCCAGACCAGCCTCGGATCTTTCGGTTCCAAACTCTTCGAGCTCTGGGTGTTCCCTCAGGTAACAACACTCTTCATCCATTCTTTATATTTATCAAATTTTTTGACTGATTCTGAAAATATGTTGCGACGACCACAGGTTGCCCCTCTGGGATCACTGGAGCTACCGTGGTACTTCTTCCCGATCAACGTGGTGGAAGATTTCTTCCTCCATACTCTGCCGTTTCCTGGGTGGTTGCTGAGATGGGACCAGAGGAAGCTTTACAAAGCACTTTACTCTTCAGCCACGGAAGCTCTAGATTTAGCTTCGTCTTACGGGCTATCCCGAGAAGAGGCCTGCAACAACCTCCTCTTCGTTCTGGGCTTCAACACTTACGGCGGCGTCAAAATAGTGGTCCCGACGATGATGAAGTGGTTAGGGCAAGCCGGAAAGAGCCTGCACAAGAGAATCGCCGATGAAGTCAGGAGCGTCGTGAAAGAAGAAGGCGGGGTGACATTCAGTGCGCTGGAGAAAATGGAGCTGGTGAAGTCGGTGGTGTGGGAGACGATGAGGATAGAGCCGCCGGTGCCGTACCAGTACGGGAAGGCGAAGGAGGATTTGGTGATTGAGAGCCACGATGCGGCGTTTGTGGTGAAGAAAGGGGAGATGATCTTCGGGTTTCAGCCATTTGCGACGAAGGATGAGAGAGTGTTCAAGAATGCGAAGGAGTTTGTGGGAGATAGGTTCGTCGGAGAAGGCAAGAGCTTGTTGAAGTACGTGTATTGGTCGAATGGACGGGAGACGGAGGACCCGACGGCCGGAAATAAACAGTGTCCGGGAAGAATCTGGTGGAGTTGGTTCTACGGGTGTTTTTGGTGGACTTGTTTTTGAAGTTTGACACGTTTACCGTGAAGCTGGGTAAGCCGACACTGGGCCCCACAGTCACCATTACGTCCCTGGTCAGGGCCCCTGCCTCCTAACTCCATATCATATTCCGCCATCTTCTCCTCTGTAATTTTTCCATTTTCTTTTTTCCCCTCGTCCTTTTACTCTCTTGTGTGGCGCTTCACCAGATAATAAAATTGAGAATAAAGAATGTCCTTTTTTTTTTTTTGGTGTTGGCGGTCTAATATAATATAAACACTGGGATTAATGGATAAGTGCTAGGCCATATTGTTGCCATTATATAAGATTTCATCTGCTTTCAATCAAACTGATTATGACAACCATCTATTATTTTAATCCAAATAAAATGTCCGGCAGCAGTGATATGATGCACAGAGTGAATTTTATATGAATAAGGATAAGGCCAACAACTTCACTTCAACCACCCCATGGAGTTTGTCACTGTCAATTAAACTTGCCTCACCACATGGTATGGTCAGGGAGTAGGATCACAACTTATGAAGTAGACATTTTGGGGGTGGGGGTGGGGGTGGGGGTGGGGGGGGGGATCTCTCCTAAATCGTGAAATACTTTAAAGGGCAAATTAATCATTTTGTAGGTATAAAATTATGGGAAAACCATATTGAAGGTGCTTATACTTTCTCTTCATTTTTAATTTGGTACCTATGTGTTTTTTTCCCTTTAATTAAACATTTAATTATATCTTTTTAGCAACATTAGCTCTTATAACTTTGTTCTATTGATATTTTTAGTCTTTACATAAGGATTAATGATGTTAATAGAAGAAAAATAAAGATTTAGTTAAGAACAAAAAAACATATAGGTATTAAATTGAAAATTAAAAAAAAGTATAAGTACTTTCAGTATGGTTTTCCTTAAAATTATTAAAATTTCAACTTACACTTTGTCTTAAATTTTAACTAGTTATGACTCAATCCTCAGGCTTTCATCTCTTTAATAAATCTTCAGCCCAGACTGGTTATTCTTAATCTGCAGATTAAATCACCTTAAATCCCCTGAGCATACGTCTCTTAACTCTCCTCCTGTCTTTCACGTGCTGTGGTTGCCTTGAAGGTGACTCGATCAATTGCAGCAGAGGTGAAATTTCGAGGGTCAAATGATTAATTCTCGCTTTATCTAAAAAGTGAAACCAAACACGTTACTGTAGGGCCCCATGTTCATTAGGCCGGTGGCTTCGACCAGAAAAGAGAGATCATTTCCGTCCAACACGTTTTTTTTATATATATAATATAAAATAACATATAAATTAATTAAAAATAATAACAAATTTATTTACGAATAACAAATTCTGATTGTAAAATTACAAGTTTTAATTTGGGATCATAACATTTTTTAATTGAAATTAATAGAGGAGTATTTTTGTCAATTTTCTTGAATTTTAAAATTTGATTTTTTATTTTACTTCCTTCTGTCTTATTTTAAAGTTTTACGTACCTGAACTTTTAGAATTTTTCTCAATCGAATCTGGCCAACAAATCATATTTAACCAAATATTATACTAAGCTGTCCATTTTGCCAATTCAATCGGACTGTGAATACCAGTTCCGCAGTTTAATAATTGCGAACTAGTTCTTATATTAAATATTAGAAGTACTCTTCCAGTTCTAAATATAAAATTTATTTTATAATACTCTCTCTATTTCTTATTATAAGAGACGAATAATCGAATAATGTTGATAAAAAAATAGTTGAAATCAGTTAAGAATAATTAATGTGTAAAAAGTACAATTTTTTTTCTAAAAATGCCCTCATTAATAAGGAGAGATAGCATGAGAGAGAACAATTAAATTATTAAAAGAAAGAGAAGTGGGAGGGAAAGAGAGTGTGAGTTGGAGACAATAAATATGGGTAAAATAGAAAATCAACACAAAAAAGTATAGACAACTTTTAAATATCTCTTATATATAAGAACATGCTATAAGTATCAAATGTCTCTTATAATAAAAAACGGAGGGGATATAATTTACACTGTAAAATAGATTTTATATTTAGAATCAAGGAGTAATATTTTTTTTAACTACAGAAATAGTTTAGATAGGCTATACTTTATAATTTTTAACTGTAAATTTTGTTTGAAACAATTGAGTAGATGCTAATAGGCTGAATTAAGTACCAAACTAGTCATCTGACATACGAGACTGTATATCTCAGACGTGCGTTAAGCAGCCAGGGAAAAAACGGAAATATAAATTAAATGGCATGTGAGTACAAGTTAAAACTTTTTTCTAACTTTCAGTATAGTGAGAAAGAGGAACAGATTAACCACGTCGACTAACTACGTAATGATGTGATCAACATACTCCTCCAATTTTTAATATTAGATCTATTTAACTAATTTGATTAGATTAAAAAAATTAGGTAAGTTAGTTAATTATAAGAAATGTGACACGTTTTTTCTAAAATACCATAATCATCTTTCTTAATACCCCATCTTTCTCTTTTACTTAATTACGGTTGATGGAATACTTATAAGGTTAATTTAGAAAAAATTGATAAATATGAAAAATATGTCTTATATTTAGGACCAAAACCAACTCAATAATTGAGTCCTATATTAATAACCGGAAGAGTATTATTTTTATTCTTAATATTAATCATTAAATTAACACCAAAAATAGACTTTTTAAAATTTAAGACCACGTGGGTATCGTCGTAGGACACACAACTACATATTTTTATATCAGAACGCGTGTCTTGCAAGATAATGCAGGCTGAAAGTTTTTTATTGCATGGCTTTAAGTTGAATACTTTTATTCAAGGGAATCGTCTCTGGTAATGAGGCTGTCATTTTATAAATTATATACAACTAAAAATCTGGCAAATAATATGATTGTCTCTTGATTCCTTTGATTGGGATCGTTGGAAGTTTGTGATTAGAAATGCGACACAAGGAATCCCCGGAAAAATACAAATTAATTAATTAATAGTTTTGAGATTGAAAAGCTATTATTCTATATATTATATTAATTAATTTTCTTGTCATGTGATGCACCCGATTAATTAATTATTATTATCAATCAAATTATTTTTTAAATGAATTGATTATGCATATAGAACTTTGTAAAAATCCCAGATATATAATACTATATCTGATCCTTCATATAAGCACTAGTTGACTAATTTGAGAAGATTAAGAAAATAAGTTAAGTTGGTTAGTTGTAATAAATAAATATTGTATTTCCTAAAATGTCCTTATTAATTAAGTGTATTAGCTAGAACTACTATTATTAGAATGACTACTTTTAAAAAAATATTTAAATATGAGAGACAAAGTAGATTGGAATATTATATTTAGGATTAAAATAAAAGTCAAACAATATCTTATACTACCTCCGGTCCTAATTAGAAGACTCAGTTGACTAATTTGGGGAAATTAAAGAATTTAGTTAAGTTAGTTATTTGTAATGAATAGATGTTATTTTTCCTAAAATATCCTTGCTAATCAAGTTTATTATCTAGAACTACTATTATTAGAAGGACTATCTTAAAAAAGTGGATAAATATGAGAGACAAAGTGAATTGGATTCTTATATTTAGGACTAAAATAAAATTCAAATAGGGTCTTATATTAAATACTAGAAGTAGTATTAAGTAGCCGATGTAGTACCAAACTATAAAAACATCCAGAAGCTAATCAAACTATAGAAAGTAATTAAACTTTCTCTTGTATCCAATACTTCTCACACTTAGCATTAACTTTCATTCATCCCTTATTTGATATTATTGGCCCCAAAAACTTTTTTGAAGACAGAGGAGAAATCATTATCCTATATTCATTATGGTTTCCCATAATTAAGGATTAGGGACCATAATCCATAAGCTGACCATGAAAAGCCATCAAAGGGTTGACGCTTTGACCAGGGAAGTTATGGTAACTGTGGGACCTTGCAAGGTGGGCTTTCCCAGCTTTATCGTGAAACTATCATACCTCAAGAAGAACTCCGCCGTAAATATCCTTAGAACCAGCTCCACCAGATTCTTCCCGGCACATTGCTTGTTCGCTGCCGCCGGCTCCTCTGTCTCCCGCCCGTTCGACCAGTACACGTACCTCAACAGCTTCTCTCCTTCTTCTCCCATAAACCTATCCTCCACGAATCTCTCTGCATCCTTAAAAACTTTTTCATCCTTCGTTGCAAATGGCTGAAACCCTAACAGCGTCTCTCCTTTCTTCACCAAAAACGCAGCGTCGTGACTTCGGACAACAATGTCCTCTTTGGCCTTCGCGTACTGGTACGCCACCGGAGGTTCAATCCTCAGCGACTCCCACACCACTGACTTCACCAACGGCATCTTTTCCATCGCCTTCAAAGTGACCCCACCTTCTTCTTTCACGACGCTCCGGACTTCGTCGGCGATTTTCTGGTGTAGGGTCTTTCCGGCCAGTCCGACCCACTTCATCAAGGTGGGGATGACGATCTTCATCCCGTTGCAAGAGTTGAAGCCCAGAACGAAGAGCAAGTTCATGCAGGCTTCGTCTTTGGATAAGCCGAAAGTCGAAGCTAAATCAAACGCTTCCGTAGCTGATGTTTCGACGGCATTGTAAAGCTTGTTTAGGTCCCATTTCAGCAAGAAGCTGGGAAGCGGCAGAGTATGGAGAAGTAAATCTTCTAGCACGCTGAGAGGGAAGAGGTACCACGGCAACCCCAGAGATCCAAGAGGTAAAACCTGCAGGTACATGTGTTTGATTTGATCTAAGGGAAAAGTGATTTTAATTACAGCTAAACGAGACATCATTTCTAATTCTACTTACCTGAGCAAACACCCAGAGCTGGAAGAGTTTCAAGCCATCAGATTTGAGTTTGGTTTGGACTGGTGCTTTGCCGCAGTATAGGTGAAACAAGAAGTTGAAGAGCTCGTTTTGGCTGATGGGGTTGAAGTAAACCTTTCCATGGCCAGATACTTCGTCTTCAACCTTAATAAACAGCTCTGTCAAGTAGTTTCTGAGCAGTGGGATTACCTGGTCTTTTCGCGAGGCGATGAGAGCAAGGAGGAAGCTCTTGATTTGGTCGTGCTTGGGTTCGGATGGGTCGAGGTAGTTGCAGACACGGTAGCCATTGGTGAATCCGGCGGAGGGCTTGAAAGTTCCGGTGAAGACGTCGCGTTTCTCGACCTTGGAGTTGTCGAAGAGGACGGGGAAACTAGCGGCGTCAAGTAAAGCGATGACACGAGAGTTAGGAGAAATGAAAGGACCAGGAGGCATGTTGGTTCTGAAGACGGTGGATTTGTATTTGAGCATTCGTGATCTGAAGAAGTCGTCACTGCCTTGGAGGTAGAAAAAGTCGAATCTGTCACAAACGGCTCCGATGAAAGGGAGGCCATAGCCACCTGGGATAGGCTTCAAGGGGAGATCAGCGTCGGCGGAGCCAGAGGAGGAAGACATTCTTTTTAACGTCGATATAGTATTATGATTATCTCTCAACTAAGTGGAATATTAATAGTTTGTGCGAGTGTCCACACACACACACACACGTACACGTGGAAATTGAGACGAAAGATTGCACGCTTAGTTACGGTGATGCGTACAGGATCAGGACCACGGTAACCATACCCCCACGGCAACGGCGAAAGAGCCTCTCCTCTTCCCGGCTCCCCTTAAATTTTATTTTTTAATTATTATTGTTATTGTTATTATTAAAATGTTAAATTATACTCCTTCCGTACTTTTTTTATAAGCAACTTTGGAGTAAAAAATAAGCACAAACCACTAAAATTTAATTTCAACAGTTTACAAATGCATTGGAGGCTTTTAAAAATATTTTATAAATAAGTTTTAAAAATGTTAAAATATGAACCGTCAAAATGTATTAATCTAAGGTTAGGGGGAATAAAAAGGAAGAAAGATTATGAGAAGAGGAGAGAATCTTTTCCCACAACCGCTGAGTTGGAAGGAATCTTTATACCATAGATCGCGGGTGACGTGAATTTATCTTTATTCAGTTTTTTTTTTTTAAAAAAATCAAGATGTGAATTTCAGTTTCTGTCTCATCATCACCGTCACTCGCGGTACAATGGTTGCTCCTCTTGAGTTATCACCGAAAACAAAAAAATGATTACTCTTGAGTCTAAAATAACGAAGGAATAATAATTTTTAGAATGAGCTGGAATGCTCATCAAAATATCAGAATCTCAAGCTAAGCTCAGAAGATTTGAAGGTTTAAATTTAATTTTTTTTAAAGAAAATAGTTATTTTAATGGGTGTCAAATCTAAAATAAAGATAGTTTCTTGATTAAAAAATTTAAGTATGAACTGTTCATATCTAATAAGCTTGAGGTGATCATTGCCATCATGAGCACCCGAACCATGTCTCTATGCTTGAATCTATAATGAGAGTCCTGTCCATATTCGCCGTTTCATGAGTTCGAATTGTCTCAAACTCTTAGGTCCCATATGATATGAAGTACTGAAAATGAAGGATAAAGATTAGAATTGTGATTGAAAAAAATATATTAGAAGAGTATTTATTATGAATGATTTTTTGTTAAGCGGGATTGGGCAAACCCATGTAGGTGAGATGAATCTCACCTACATAGGTTTATCTAATCTCAAGTAACAAGTAACTCCTCATACTAAACACTTTTATCAATTGCAATCTAAATTCCTACATCTCATTTTTAATGCCTTATACCAGGATTTCAAAGCATGGCGAAGTCTCAGAAAATTACAAAATAAGACTGAAAACTCAAAAAAGAAGAAGAAGAAGATACTCCCTCCGTCTTTTATTATAAGATCTAATTTTTTGAATAGGTTTGTCTTTTTTTATAATATCCTTTGTGAGTTTTTCTGAATAGTTAATGTATTATTATCTATTTTACCTCTAGTTTAATGTATTTAATACATTCTCTTTCTTCATTTATCTTACTATTACTCTCTCACATCTACCCATATATATATAAGGATATATTTGAAAAAAAAATTGTATTTGCTACATATTAATTGCTTTTAACTAATTTTAACTGTTTTCTTAAACCACGCAATTTAATTAAAAAGATTTTATAATAAGGGACAGAGTCGTATTGGCATTCCCCAATATAATCTCACCTACGTGAATTTATCTAATCCTGAGTAACAAGCAACTCCTCATACTAAACACTCTTGTCAATTGCAATCTAAATTCCCACGTTTCATTTTTAATGCTTCGTACCAGGATTTCAAAACATGACGAAATCTCATAAAATTAAGACTGAATTAAAACTCAAAAAAAAAAAAAATACAAGAAGAAGAAGACATTGAACTTGGCTCTTTCGGCGAAAGCAAAAACAATGCGCCTTTCAACAGTGATTAAAAGTGAACCACAGCATTTAAAAGTTTTTTGTCCTCCGACTTGGCCAAGTTGAAATATTGATTTGATGTTAATTTTCGTAATTCATCCATATCACACAACTATTTTTATATCTAAATTAATAGTGTGTCATTAAATAGAGGATAAAATTGAAAAAAATGTAATAATTCTTGCATAAATATTGTTGTTTTGGGGCTTCGGTCTGTGTGTTTCTTAACGAGAATAAGCAAATAAAGAGGGAAAAAGTAATAAAATGATATTCAGGAGAAAGATAAAAAAAAAATGATATTACCTCCTCTCCTTAACATAAAAGTCAATTTGACTTTTAATTTGATTATAAATATAGGATACCAATTCATTTAGTCTATCATATTTACTCTCTTTTTTCAAGGTAGCCTTTGTAGAAGTAATTGCACATATTAAATATTTCATTAAATGATAGTTCTATATAATACACATGATTAATAAGAGTATTTTAAAAAATACAATATATATTTATTACAAATAACTAACTTAAACTAATTTTTTTAATTTACTTAAATTAATCAACTAGTTATTATATTAAGTATTGGATGTAGGAATTAAGAAAAGGACCAACTTCACTATGGCACTCTTATTTCTAGCCTCTTCTTCGCAGTGGAGGATAACTATCAACATGGATCCTAATTTGTCCGGTTTAAACAGAGCTAATTCTATTTATAATTTGCGAGCAAAATTAAAGTGTTATATCACATCTTTTAAGTCGATGGGGCCAAAACAAAAGCAAATCAGAAGTTGCAGCTATTGGGGTTGTTGGGCGGTCATTCCATTGAGAATGGCGTATACCGTATAAAACCTTTTAATTAAATAAAAGAGATCCAAAAAGTATAACGTATCACGTGGTTTCACATTATCATCTGTAAATTAAGACGAATTTCTTGTCATTTTATTATCAAATAACTATTATTTGCTCGAATTAAGTAATTATAACACGTCTCTGGAGACTACTGTCACGTTGGAATATAATATTGATTAACTATAAAAAATTAAATGTGCCTTTTGTCATCATCCTCGAGCCAAGGGGCCGTTCAAAAATTATGCGCAATTAATATAAAATGAAGAAATTGATTCCATTAATTGATATAATTTGTTTACCTCATGTGCTTGTTTCTTTGATGTCAAGCCCAGGCCAACTCAAATTAAAAAGGCTTTAAAAGAATTGTATTTAATTTAATATTAAAATATTAGTAGAATTAATCATTGCTTGTTTCTCTAAACTCCAATGTTAATCATATTTTCCAACTTGATGAGCTCTTCAACTAATGAAAGCAATGTCTCCTAATTAAGGCGTGGGATCTTCTCTGTAGAGAGATATACGTGAATTTGGCTTCCCATGTGTTCTAGCAAACTTGAGGGAAATTATTAAATCATTCTTTAATTTGCATTTCAAATTATTATCCATTCTTGCATGAGAGGTGAGAAGGGAGAAGAAAGTACCAAATCAAGGCAAATATAGCAAACCAGCTAGCTAGCTCGCTCCTTAATTTTGTGAAAAATGCAAATGATACATCAGCAAGTGGGAAATTGTCAAATTATGATCAATAAGGTCTGTTTGACTCAATGAGAGAAAGGAGAGGGGAGGGATTTTAATAGAAGGAAGGGAAGGAGAGGAGAGTGGAAGGATTTTAATATTATCTTGTTTGGATTTATAAAGAAAAAAAAGGAGAGGGGAGGAGTTTCAATATTATCTTGTTTAATTCATGAGAAGAGGAGAGGGGAAAATATTTTGACATGAACAATTTCATCTTTATTTTATTTAGGATATGAGCATAATGATCATCACATAACAAAATATGAACATGATGATCACAACATGGCAAAATATTACCTTTTCCCTCTAAATCCTCCTAATTTTGGAGGGAAGGTTGAAGAGGGGATGGGAGGGGAGGGAAATATTTTTAAAATTTTCTCTCTCCCCCTAAAATTTGTGTGTTGCCAAACAAAAGGAAGTGATTAAAATCCTTACTCTTCCCTCCCCTCCAAATCCCACATACCAAACACACGCTAAAAGACAATGAATTAATCACAGTAGCAACTTAATTAGTTAGGAGTGGCTTATCCTTTGTCTTCAGTACGTACCCCAAAGGAAATTAATCTCTAATGTTCATATAAGTATATACTTCTTATGATTTATCCCCAAAAAAAGACAATAAATCACTTAACTTCGATACCTTTAACCTTGGCCTACCTAAAAGTTTGACTTTTTCCTTCTGTGGATGTGTGTTTCTGTGTATAGTATTAACAAGCACAGTGACTCTTCAATTTAATAATTTTGTAATAAAGCTATTTTTTGGAATGTTCTTTCGACTCTATCTCTTCATTTTGCTTCCTTTTTGGTTTTCAATCTTCTCTCTCTTGCTTCATCTTTATCCTAAACTGTATTAACACATTAATTAATTCATCAATTTACTTAAACTAAACAATGTATTCATCACACCAAAGCAATATTCCTTTCGTCACAACACATAAATATCATTATTGGCCATATGGATCATTAACTATAAAATTTATTTTAAAATTGCACATGCACCCATATAGATAGACTCGCCTAATGAATGGCTTTTTTATCAAAATACGATAAACAGTAAAATTATATACCAATATACTTTACTTTTGAAAGTATTTACCAATATATTGCACTTAAAATCACTCTTAGCAAGAACGACTTTCAAATTACACACTAGTCGTTCTTGGCGTGAACGATTTCAAAAGTCATTCTTGGCGTGAACGATTTCACTTTCTTTTTTTGTCAATTTTGCACGACTTGTCTGATCTCCGCTGCCTTTCCCGTTCACTGCCCTCCACTGCCACAAAATGCCAACGTTTTGCCTCAATATGGAGAGATTAGGCGAGTGAATTGAATGGATCAGAAGAAGCAATGTTTGCAAGAAAGAGAAAAAAATAAGCAACCTGGATTTTTTTTTCACTAGTGGATGTTTAACGCCATTAGCAAATAAATAAAAAATTATTCAACACTTACTAATTTTATTTTATTCATGTCACTATATTTAATAAAAATTAAGGATTGAATATAAACTATTACCTCTAGTCTTTAGTATAA